ATGAAGTCCATCTCATCTTCTTCTTCCTCACTCTCCTCCTCCCCCTCGCCCCAGAAGGGACTTCTTTCCATGGAGTCAATTGGGACGGAAGTGACGCTGCGCGCGTCACTCCGTGGCGGCACTGGCTCCGCGGATGTCGCTCGGGATGATTTGAGTCTGCCCTTCTTGGTTGTTTTACCCTTCAGCAAAAGTGGCTTGGTGGCGGTCTTCGCGGTTGGAGCTTGTTTCACTCGCACAGGCGGTGCCTTCATATGAACTAATGGCTGTTGACCTTTCTCATCGTCGCTAGACTATGGAATGGATGTGATTTTCCCGTTACATGGATGTCATACGTAGGTGTAAATAAGTGTGAATATCAAAGTCAAATTGTGGATGAAAAAGACTGGGTAGTTAACGTCAATTTCCATCATTGACTTGGCAATACATCTTCCTATGCAGTGAATAGGGTCACGCATGAATTTCTCATCATTTAAATGTCGTCTTTTAGGAAATGACATTTGTCTTATCCTATTGGGGGGTTTCACTGGTTGAACTTGAGACTTCACCTAATAGGTTTCACCTTAATCGGTGTTTGACCCAAACCTAGAGAGGTATGACCTCGGAGCCATAAGCGTAAGCGGTTACTTGGCCAAGCATTGTGCTGATTTCTCTGAGTGATAATTAGCTTGACATGAATTAGTTTGTCTTACTAATCCCTCTCAATCATCTTATGGCTGCATAAAAGAGAGAAGTCTTCACCGGATGTTTTGCACCATGACCAACTTTCTTAGCCTGACCCTTCTTGACTGATTGCTCGTTTTCCTCCGAGCTCTTCTCTACGGGGATCTCCTTTGACTCAAACCGCGAGGGAGGCGCATCTTCAAATCTCACGTCAGTCTCCGTGTCTGGTGACCTCTAAGGCAAGTAAATTAAATTACGGTAGTTGCATAGAAAACAACAGTCTACCTCTACTGTAGCCTCATTTTCCGGTTGAACAGGAGCCAGCTGCTCGAGGAATTCCTTCAATTCTTCCATCTGACAAGTAAGAGTCAGCAACACGATAGTTTTTAACTCTTCCATCTCAAGATCGGCGGCATCGGCAAACTCCACCATGTGTATTTCCTCCTGATAGAGGCATTCTCTAAAATCTGCCTCTACGTCTGCAATACTCCGCCCCTTGCCTACTCGCTGGACCAATCCTTCCACTGCCATACGGCAGGTCGCCTCAAATTCATGAGCAAACTTCATCAATCTCGAGTTGCCGCTGCTTGGCGGTACGCCTAGGGTCTCGTTCAATTTCCTCGACAATGCGACCCGTTCAATGGAACGAGCGGGATTATCGGAGAGCACGATGTTGATCATGTTGAGTACGGCACGTGGCGAGCGGAAGTGGCAGTTTAGGAGGAAGAAAACGTAGCCCGGCTCAGTTATAGTATGGAGAAAGTCGGCTCGCGTTACATTATCCTGCACCACCGCTGCTAGCGTATCAAGATTGTTTTGCTTGCCGGCCAACGCGCCGGATACCACCCTGCCGATGTCTCCATCTTCCCCACCAACGACGTCTCGAAGAACCGAGAGGATATTCTCCATCTCAAGGCGTGACAACAATCCGGGTGGTGTGGAGACCGCAGATGTTGCCTTTACCTCTTGTTCAGTTTCCACCGCTTCAGAGTCTACTTCACCCGGGACAGTAGCGCTGGTGGAATCTCTGTGTGTAATCGCTTTTTTTTGAATTCTTATCTCTCTCATTCGTTCGGCTAGAAGATGAACAGTGCTGATGAAGAAGCGTATAATACTGATGGAACCGATGCTAACCCTTTTTATTCATACCCACATTAAGGCATGACATGTTTCTGTACTTCACACCTACCACCCACCGGGTCTGTTATTTTTTGCTTCAAGTTTGCTTGTATTTTGTTGATTTGCATATTTATAGTGTAGTAAATGATAATTCCCTTACAATATTCCGCATGGAGTGGTACGGAGAAGTTTGCAAAAGGTAATAAGATGCAAGCTTTTGGAAGTAAGGGTGTACTTTCTTATCGGAATAATGCGGATCATTTTGCGTGATAGTGTCTGATCAGTTAATATTCCTGTGAGAAGTGGAACAAATGTAGTCAATGCAAAACTAGTGTAATCTTTTAATTATCTGTCTAACTATTCGGCTTTGTACTTTCCCCTTGCGGAATGGCCTCTGGGCTATACTTGCGGCCTCTCAGTTCTTTCTTATGCCGGTAGTGCATATTCTACCCGAGTACTATATCTTCTTCGTTTTCAGGAGTCTTGGGGCACTGCATTGGTGGCAGCGGAAAGCGAATTTGATCCTCAAGGATGACTACCCTGATTTTGACTACTCAATGATGAATCTTAACATGACGGAAGAAAGGCATATGCTTCGGATGGGACAATCTGTGAAGACTTGTAACAGTAGGTTTGAAAATGACCTCTACACTCGGCAACTTCTCCAGTCCCGTGTTCTGCAGGAATGATAATACAACTGAAGCAATAATAACCATGAACCATTTAGAAAAATTCGTTATGGAGCTGTCTACGGTGAAAACACGGTACCTCCTCCACATCGTCACTAGCTGGATAGAACCCAGATAGGTATCGCTGGGCAGTACTGAAGTGAGAACAAAGTGGAAAAGGGGAATAGGCGCGGAACTTTGTCGACACGAAATTATTTCGAACTCCATCCCCTATTAAAGGATTCCCCTTTTAGGCCAGGGATCATACCAACACCAGTGAGCACGAGGGATGGCCTGCACATTCCCAAACAGGACGAAATCTCAGACTCAGTAGAATCGCCAAGGTGGATTAGTGCCATTTTAGCAGTTATTTAATGGATATTTTTCCTACAGCACCGACTTCGTTGTGACGACCGACGCGGGCGGTTGACCAAGGGGAGCGCCGGAGACGGCGCTCAAGAGGAGAGGGAGGGGGGCTATGCAATACTTTGACTGTTTGCTTCGATTACGCGGGCATTTAAGGCTCCACCGCTGTACTTCCACTTTGCAAAAAGGGCTGCGCAGCGTCGAAGACAAAAGAAACTCACCTTTATGATGGACACTTTGATCAAACACCTCCTGAGTCGCGTCATGTCGGATCTTCTTCAAACGTAGAATGTCCTCCTTGGAAGCCATGTGCTCATCCTCTCCCACCATGAATTCTTCCACGGCTGCACCTTCGAGAAGCCACATGTCTTCGGCTTCCAAGGTTTTTGAACGGTCGCCACGGGATATCGTCGCAGAGTACCTTCTGGACTTTTTACGCTGCATCTTTCGCTTATTTTCCTTCTCCAGTCTAGCAGCCTCTTCTTCCATTAACTGTTTTGGATTCATCGGTGTTTAGTATGTATTTTTAATTATCTCCATTTAATTAACAAGGAAACGTGACCTAATTTCAAATTAATAAGGAGAAATTTTTTGGTAACTGCGCTATCAAACAGGCAGGTAGACTTTTTTATAGCTAGTAATCTCTTCATTAGGCCATTAAAAGTTTAGTGTTCGTACTTCATTAGAGATTCAATCTACTGATGGAATTCAAAGTGGTTTTGGTAGCTATCTTTGTAGATGATTCCCGAATATGCAAATGGCGGAGAGACTCACATGATATTCTTTAGCTTTCAACTTTAAGCCTTCAGATTTAGCATAAACTTCGGCCCTGCGACTCCTTAGTACCTAAAACAAGGTGAGGAGATGTGGGGTGTGTTGATGGACAAAGTGGGCTTGGATATTGCGTGACCTCTAATTCATTCATTACAAATCCTAATATTTGGGACTTTTCCTTACTTCAACTACAACACAGAATTTTAGGGGTCTGGACAATTTTCAAAAGTATAGCCACCCCAGTAACCCTACATTTGCCCAGTCATTTGAAGCTTACTGAAGAGGTGATGTAAACAACCACTTGGAGGCTCAACTACTTCCTCTCCGGCTCACTAGTCAGTATAAGCGTATTTACGAAGTGTCCACTTACATCTGCATATTCGTCTAACCACCTTCCTATCACCTTTCGAATGAACGAGTTCGGGACATAACCTGTAAAAGGGTAAAGTAGAAGAAGAGAAAGTAGAAATCCATAGTCTTGCTGAAGTTAACAGCAGGTGAAAGCAATCCGCAACTTTCCTTACCCATATAATCAATTATGCAACGTGGCAGCACCCTCAACTTGGCCCTCAGGTTACCAAACGTCATTTCTCCATTACTGCCATAGGGATAGGGCTCTAGGATTGGAGAATTCCATATGCTATTAAGAAAGTCACATATACATAAGCCCGATGACCGGGTACTAGAGCCCTTCCCCTCAGTACTTTGCGATTTTGAAAAATCTTGACGAGCCCCGAGGTTATCCAATCCCTCGTTAGGCGGATTTACAATGGAATCCTTCACGGGGGCTAACTCAGCATTCCTCTTCTCCTCCATTGGGGTGCCAAGTGATTTTCTCCTCCGTTTAAGTGTCAGCCCCACAGACAGGTGTCAACATGGGGGACCCACGTGACAATTGTGATGGCTATTGATTTGCAGGTTTGACCTTGGTTTCTTCTTTTAATCCGCCCCATTGCTTTGGTTGTTTCAACTTTAATTACAGTGAAAATTCTACTTGAGCTTGAACAGAGTTGCATAGATAGTCGACTGAAATACATGCGAAAACACGATATTTTTTAGGGACCTAAATTTTGTATTAAAAGAGATTAGTAAAAACGGATCTGTTTAGGGGTAAATTTATATATTTAACACAGGAAAACATGTAAAGATTCCGCTCCAGATGGATGACCAAATTTTCCATCTGTCTTTGAGATTTCTTAACTCCGACGTTGAAGGTACGATTCAGTTTTCCCTACCTTTGATGCCAAGGGTTTCTAATCGCCTCTTTGCATATCAGGCCATAGCCTGAAAAGTGCATTCATCCTCACAACACCATTTGGCCAAGTTTTATTATAGATATGGCCCTTTTTACTTTGATAGGCAACCACTTTGCCCGGTACACATTTGGGAACATTCATAAGTCGTTTGACGTGGTAGGAGGAGTCGAACACTGTCCAACTTAACGACGTTAGAGGAGAGTGGGTTTCGTTGAACTAAGGAATCTGTCGAAAGAGATTCTGGTGACTAATATCACTGTTGGTGGAGTTCATAAAATAGTCAGTGGGTTGAGATTGAGCCGCCCCCGAGGCCTGGTCAGGCGGAGGATCAGCTGAAAATAGTGAAGGTATCAGCATGCCATAGACACGAAGTTCACCGTGTGAATGAAGGATGCGCTCAAGGCGGTGTTAGGAGCTTGTTTTCCCGAGGCGGAGGAATAGAGCACTCGAAATGTGAGCCAAACGACGCAAATCCGGTGCAGGTTCATGCCCGATGTTAGCATCAGAAACCTCGAAGTCAAACATCGTAATTCTCTACAGCAAGAAAAAGGGACTGGACTAAAGGAAGGTCTTTTAGCAATTCTATAAAGCAAGTGCCATTCAGAAATTCCATTATGAAGTGATTCATTGAGATGCGTGTTTACTCAATGCGTAAAACCGAGGCATATCGTGACAGCTAATTGTGTTTTAAGAATGTTTAGGGGGAGGGTGGGGAAATTGAGCTTTATATTGCTTTCAAAACAGGACTTGTGTAGATAGCTTGCCAATCACATTGAAAACTTTTTTTATTACAAAAACAATTTTATGGAGGTGATTGAGCCCTCCATAGGGTTTTTTAATAGTGGTCCGCAATTCACACCTTTATCGCCTGAGTGATACCGCCATTTATCTTCGACATCAAGCAATTCAAGTGTGCACGAACAGTTTCCATGATGCTGACTAATGTTTATTGAATCTGGGTTGTGCTTTTGGTTCTGGTGACCAGAACAATCCTATGACCACTACACCTTGATGCGTTTATGTGATAAAGAATTGCTTCAAATGGACAGTGTTCAAGTGAAAGAACAATAAATGAGTCTTTCCACTACCAGAGGACTTATCGCCTCCTCCAATCTAGTCAGCCAAGCAGCTAGTCAGGTAGATTATCAAGCCACAAAGTGACAATGCATTAGAGCAACGCAACCACCACCTTCGCCACCACCACTAGACTCGCTTAAGAAAGCTCTCGTGTCTCTCTTCTCGCCGTAGCAAACACCTTGTGACAGCAAGTGGTTACTTATCGGTGTCTTATCTTTCCGACAGCCAACAGAGAGCGAAAGCAAGGGAGAGAGAGGGAACGAGAAGGACGGGGAGGGGGCCAAGGGAGGGAAACGCTGAACGAGGGAGGTGGGGGGAGGGGACTACACTTTTGTCTCCTCCACCAACCTAACACTTTTCCACTTTGAATATATACTATGGCCGTTGTGTGTTTGTGGCTGTAATGACGCTAATTGTGTGGGTGCGTGCGAGAGTGTCCGTGTCCACTTAATTTTGGTCGTTGGCTTGGCGTCTCTTAGCCGGAGCAGGCTAGGTCATAACACCTTGTCATCATTGCCAATCAGTGGTCATTTTGCTTATGGAAAAATGTTAATTTTAAGAATAAGGTCGTCTTTAGCCGTATAACATTGGTGTACTTCCTTGTAAATTGTGTTTTAACCGGGTTTGCATTTATCCACGTTAATATGGGAACCGTTAATAATAAAGGGCTGCGACACTTTTTGATATGAACCGAGGTTACGTATTTTCTTGGCAGAAGTGTACAATGTTCAAAAATTGACATCTTCGAGTCCGTTTAATACAAACTTAGCTAACACCAATCCCGTTTTTTCAGTTAATACTTGATCCAGTTCTGATATATGCTGATCAATTTCATTGGCTACTCGACTCCTATTTCATACTTCCACAGATCATGCGGTCTGTAATCATTACTGGACACGGGTTCAACTAATGACCCTTAAATCCTCAAACAATGTACGTGGTTGATTACATTTCTGCTTAATGTCAATTGTGAGGCTGTAACATTACCTCATTTCGTAAAAGAGAACAAAGTGGAGATATAACACTGAGGAGATGCCCCTGACTTAATAAACTGGAAGGAACTATTCCTTTAAATTCATTGAATTTACCAAATAATGCTGTTATAAGGTGTCCTTAAGTGTAAATAATCCAAAATCTGTAGCTGTGCTCCCCTTTGTTAACAAAGCTGAAGTGATCTGTAAGTGTTTCAGCATTTCGAATCATAGTCTCGCCCAAAGAGACACCCTCCACCAAAAGGCATGTGTTTTGAAGTCAACTATAGTTTCCCGTAACAGCATTTCCTTGAACCTCTGTAAACCCGACTTCATCACCGAAGTGATAGCAATCAAGTATTTGTGCTCGGGATATGCCGGTATTGTAGTGGCCGGTGTGTACGGACTGCAGCCTGACGATCGTGCAGACCAAAAGACCTCCTCACTGGGAGTTGCCTGCCGCTAAGTGAGCCATGCCACCAAATACGTCGTTGTGAAACATTGTGATACGCATGCACACTGAGAGATAGAGAAAGAGAGAGAGAAGGCTCTTCCTACAAATGAGAATCGCAAATTGCATTCACAAACGCGCAGTAGCAGTAACAGTGCCTGCCCGTATCAGATAAGCCCAATGCGCTTACACACACGCACGCGCGCGCTCATTAATAGACTTTCGTTGGTGAAACACAAGAGTAGTTGCAGCAGCGGTGGTAGTTGTAGTAGCAATTGTCTCCATTGTCATCCCTTGTCTTCCCCCCTACCCGCCTCACTATCCCTCCCTTTCACCCTACCTACCCGCCGGGTACAGTCGAGCTGCTTATCAGCTTCTCATATCTGCCAACACGACGACAACGAGGTAGTAGTAACAGCAGCATCATTTGCGTCAGTAGAAGAAAGAGATAGGAGGGAGGGAGGATCGAGTGGTCCGGTGGTCCATTGTCACGAGCGCGTCTTTATGCGCGCATATGTGTATGTACGTGCGCTAAATGCGCATACAGGGCATTATTATACCTCACCACCCCATTCCATTCCATTCCGCTCCTCTAGCGTTGCCGCCGTCGCCCCTGTCCCTCGCCCCTCCGCACTACTGATCGATTCAAGACCCAGATGAAAAGAACCACTCTGTGCATTAGGGTTAATGGGCTTGTCAGTAGCTGTCATGCCCACTGCGGTTGGGCCTAAGTACTAACAGGTTGCTAGGCTAGGTGAACTGAGACAGTGAACAGAGGGGAAAGGATGAGGATGGATGAATTCTTTTAAAAGACCCTCTTCCCCTCATATTTTTGTTGCTATGGCGAAGACAGCCCCTCGGTTAATTAGAATAATGTGTAAGCAGGTGCTCCGCGATACGAAACGATACGATTTACAAAACGGCCTAATGGTTTTCGCTGGGAAAACTTGACATCGCAAACCAAGTTTGGTGGCATTGAAGTTAAAGGCTAAGCCCATCTGACAGTTCTGGTGGTTTAGGAAGAATGCACCGTTGAAAAGATGAATGGTAGGGCGGGTGAGAGGTGAATAATCCTAGGTACCTTTTTATAAGGCCACTGCGTACTCTTTGTGGGTAAGATAAAATGCACAAAAACTGTGGAAAAATGGACAATTTGATTTGTAACATTTGTTGAACGCATTCACTGACACGACTGGGAGGGGAAGGGTGGATGAATAATCCGCAACACAATACTTCAGTGGCCTTGGGGATTTCATTCACACTTGACACAAAACCTCCAACCTTCATTCTGGTGCGTAGTGGAAATGTCAAGTGGATTTTTGTATGCTGATTGACTTATGCTTGCCTGACGAACCGGCACAAGTGAGAATGGCTAAAGTAATTGTTTCGCTTGACAAAGCTTAAAAAATTAGGAAACAAGCGATAGCCAGGATTGTTAGGTATGTGCTAGAAACCTCGTTCCCACCGAGGAGCTTTCTGGCCTTTAGCTGGGCATATTCAACAACGCTAGTAGCAAAACCTTATTTGACCGCTTAATGATGCCCCATTCTACCCTCATTCACTGAATTAAACCCCTTCCTTATCGGCATGATTCAAGAATATAAATTAGACAAACGATAAAATTTCAGTTTATTTACATAATTCCAAATGCAAACAAAAAAAATGCTAAAAATCAGAAAAGTAACTTCATGGACCTCTAAAAACGTGGACTTCTCCTCCTCTACCTTCACTCTCCACCCCCTCATTAATATCCAACGCGTCCTCGCCTTGCTCCACCATCTTCTGCAGAGCAATTGCCTCCTCTTGACCGCCGCCACTGCGAAGGCTTGAAAACACGGCAGCGGCTGCTGCCAAGTACTTAAACCACAACATCTTCGATTCATCCACGTCAACACTACTCTCCAAGTTGGCATGCAACGAGGATTGGAGTGGCTTCAAGAAATCCATGCCTGGAGGGACCGAGGGAGTGGGTTGCTTGGATGGCGACGGTTGAATCAGCGAGTCCGCACTAAAAGCTAAAGCTGACGAAGAAGGCGAGGATGAGTTGGTTGAACTGCTGGAGGACAGAGAGGAAGCGGAAATGGAAGAAAGGAAGGATGACGGGAGTTGCGCTGGGGGTAGTGATAGTGGCGGTGTTGGTGGTGAGGCCATCTTCAGTGCATTCTCCTCAAGACTTTTTCCATTAAGGAGGTTCATAGGAGCGTTTCCCAGGTTTGCAGATGTCGTGCGCATCAAGTTGAGCACCATTTGATCAGGAGTGGTGGACAGAGTTGGTGGTGCCGGTGGTGGCGGCACAATCGGGAGAACAGGTGCAAATGGGTTTATAAAACTGTTTGAGTAGAGTCCCCCAAACGTTGAAAAACCTGCGTAGACACAAAATTTATTTATTGGATTAGGCTTCTTCCAACACCTGTAAAACTCTCCATGCCTATCTCTAACACGTGCCATTTGAAGAAGCCTAAGTGAGGCGCATGCTTTAATGAAAGATAGTACAGCTTACCAGGCAGAAGGGCGTGTGAATGAAAACCACTGTGCAGACGATCCCTCGTATTGCCCATTGCCATCATCATGGCAGTCTTGGTTTTGCGCCGTGGTCGGTACTTGTAGTCCGGGTGCTCCTTCATATGATTGGCTCTCAAACGTTTAGCTTCATCAATAAAAGGTCGCTTCTCCGCCTCCGATAAATGCTTCCACTCCACGCCCAGACGTTTACTAATCTCCGAGTTGTGCATCTTCGGGTTGGCGTGGGCCATTTTGCGCCGCTGACCTCTTGACCACACCATGAACGCGTTCATAGGTCGTTTAACGTGGTAGGAGGAGTCGGACAATGTTGGACTCGGTGGCGTTGGACGAGGGTAGACGTCGCTGAACCAAGGAATCTGTCGAAAGAGATTCTGGTGACCAATATCACTGTTGGTGGAGTTCATGGAATAGTCAGTGGGTTGAGATTGAGCCGCCCCCGAGGCCTGGTCAGGCGGAGGATCAGCTGAAAATAGTGAAGGGTTCAGCATGCCACAGACAAAGTTCACCGTGTGAATGGAGGATATGCTCAAGGCGGAGTTGGGCGGCAGAATTCATACCCTTCGCGGGGGAGGGGGAAGGGCTAGCCGAGGGCCGGATGGCGAGGGAGACGGGAGGAGGAGTTACGCGTACCTGCGTGAGCAGGTGAATGCCCATTGGTCACTTGTGGTAGCTGTGTCTTTTATTGGCCGATAAAAAGGCTCAGGCACTAATCATGTGAGGGATGCAAATTCTCAGCACATTTCAATGCGGCAACTTAGAATAGCATTATCCAATCTTTGTGGAACAAATTCAAGCCAATGCCTGAATGGAAAGTACCATCACAAATGTTTTATTCCCTTCGTAAATTGTCAACAGTGAATCCTCCTTTATGCTAATGAATAATAGGATTACAATCAGATGCTAGATTTTAAAAATCATATTAGAAATATGTAAACACATATCAGTTGTATTTCGCAACCACTGATTAAAAATACTGTCAGTTGAAGCTTGGCGCATCTTTGCTAAACTATTTGGGGCTCATGACTCCTCAGAGAGACATATGTGTAAGTGAGGCATGATTGTTTTGTTTCTGTCGAGATTCGGAAGGTTTTGAAGTGCTAAATTCTTGAAATGTTATATTTGTTTCAACAGCTAAGTCATTTTAAACTTCAGTAAAGAAATTCCATTCGGCAGAATTGAGTTAGTACTGTTAGTTTTACCAAGCAAATGACTGAGCAATTTTGCCATTGAACCAAAAAAAAAATTGCAGAAGGCTTAAATCCTCCACACATTTGTTAAAAAGTAAGAGTGGCTTTTTCTGTACTAATCAAATTTTGTGGAATCTTTAGATAGGCAACATAATGGTGGGTATTTAGTGGATCCAATTACGCAGTTCTGATTTGTCCCTAATTCGTAAAATAAAGCCAATGGTAATTCCACTTCTGAGCTTCCACGAGTAAAAGTCGGGTGAAAGAACCAGGAACATTGTTTCCTTATTAATCATAGTGCCGCTTGGCAATGAGTCTTATCTTTTCCTCCCCGGACACGGCATTTTTGACAGTGAATCCCATTGAATATGCCAAAATGGTATTGGTGCGCATTCAGCATCCATAGAGGATTAATTTAGTCGTGCATTTGTTTAATTATTTTATTTGTACGAGGGTATAAGCTTGATAATTTGCAGACTGGGAGAGTATATGGGTGTAGAAGGATGGTAGAGGAGATGGGGCGCACTGATTAGGCCGTGTAGTGGGAGAGCGGTGGTGTTGATGGAGAGGGGGAGGCAAATTTAGCTGATCACAAAATCTCACGCCATTAAGTCTCCGCCTCTCTCAGAGCGGCATACAGGGATTGAGGGAGACTGGCAAGCCATGACCCCCTCGGCCAAAGAGTCGTTGGAGGGAGAGGGATGGTTTGGGGAGTGGCGTTGCGGTGACGGGGAGGGAATCTGATAATTGGTTCCCCGCCTCCCCTTTCACCCTCCTTCTCTCCCCCCTTTCTGCAAACTCAAAATTGTGCATGTGTGTGTACTGACCACCGGGTTATCGCAAAAGAGCATGTGAGAACGAGTTTGGAGATGAGGCTTCTTGATAGCGCGGTGTGTACACCACTCAACTCACCGAGCAAGGGCGGGTGGGTGGATGGATGGAAGTTGATGGCTTAATTATGAAAACCACTCAGTGCCTTCTTTTTGTCAGCAGCACTTCAACAAAGGGCTTTTCCGCATTTCTCAATCTACGTTTTCTATTCAGGACTTGGCTCGATCCAACCCTAACCGTGGGTGCATGTGTGTTTGCTTTCATCTAAATGCTGGTAAATTTTATTACCGCTAAATCGTTTTCCCTCAGGGAAATTAAATCCCCTAATTGCTTGCATTCTCGGGGTCATTGGGTGCACACATTAAAAAAGCCGATTAAAACGGAATCTGTGAGGTCACACGCATAATTACGTCGTGTGTTTGCGCGCACAAAGCATTAAAATTACTGCCTCAGCCACCAATTTGAATTAACCTTACCGGTGCTTTTGAAATACATTGCCTGAATGTAGCATTATAGCCAAAAAAGTTAGGCATCGCCGGTGAAGCACAATAAATCGAGGCTATCCTAAGCGATACATTAACTTCGACGAGAACACAGCTTGAATAACTGGTTGAGGAAAGGTTGATGTTAAGGATGGGGTAAATGGATTGGCATCGGCTAGGGTAAAGCGGTAATGCGTGACCCGCAACAGAATGCACATACGTCTCAATTCTTCCTTTTTCCCAAAGCATTAGAATGTTGGATTTGACTTGAGGCTTTAGCTAATTCGCAGTAGTCAGTTGTACCTCAGCTAGTTTGTTATAAGTAGTTTTGTATAAATTTGCCTAATCTAAAGCGCAAATGAGCTAGGAGTTCGTAATAACTTTTATGTAAGTACATCATTAATGCACAGCACCAGGGATCTTTAAGGGTGGTACACTTCTGCAGGTAATTGCTTGCCAAATTTCTGATTACACAAAACATAAAATGCCAAGTCACGCCTTTAAAGCCAAGACTATTCTTCCAACTCCTATAGAGTTCGATAACGGCTTTAAGTCCCACTTATATCAAAATGAGGAAGAAACTCATGGTGCGGGTGATGTTCCCTGAAAACAGTCAAGTGGTAAATAACAGGGACGAAACCGATGCTCACAGCGGAGGTGTCAACATGGGTGATGATGTGTCCTCGGAGTAACCCCCACTTGGGTCGGACTATGTTGGTTCCAAAGCGGGAGTTTGACCGAAGAGAACGCTGAGGACGATACTCAAAAGAGAAGAGGGACTATGTAGTGCGCTAATTGTTTGTTTTATTCTTAGTTTTGTTATCGTCACCAAGGCCCAGTCATTATACTTCCGCAGGACGGCCATGCCAGTAGCCCTCAAGCCCTTCTGTAGGTCAACAATACATATTCTGTCCCAATATCACGTCTTCCTTCGTCTTCAAGGGGGTCTCGGAGAGCTCCAAATACATTGTCCGGCTTAATTATTAAAGTAGGCGCAAATTAAAGTCTTAGCCACGAGGTCTGTGGTAAATCCCAAAAAGGATTCGAAGTGCCTTGCCTTTCACCTCTGTAGCACTGTTAACATTGGGTTGGGGGAAAACCTGAAGTAGCATAACTAGAATTTATGAGAGTGTAGCGGTATACAACGCACTAAGCAGTAGCGGTTTACAAGATTTGGCTATCTGTCACAACCGATTATGTGTTTTGACAGCTTTAGGAGCACGTGGCTCCACTCCGTAACTAACAAAACCAGGAGGTGGATCAAATTCAACTGAAAATCACTTATGGAATAACTTTGACCGTACCCATCACCCCTATGTTTTAAACCAAAAGACATTCATGCTGTCGAGTAAAGAAATTAAAGTATCAAGGATTCGAGGCCTAAATCGTATTCCATACTTGGTGTACTTTACAGAGACAAAAATTACTGGACACTGCCTCACTGCACACCTCCCCATAAAGGAAAATTATGACCTCACGAAATGCAATTTTCCTGCAAATCTATGTCCAGGTATTTATGAATTCTAGGACTTACATCCGCCAGCTTTCAAGGATTTAGAAAAACCGAACACTAGCGCGTACTTAAACAAAACTTGATTTTAATTAAACCCCACATAGCTGTGGTTACTGAACGGCGCCAATTCTGCCATTGACTAATTTACTAACTCTCGTTCTTTTTAAAGTTACCCACCCTTTCTAAAGCAAAAATGCCCATTTACTAGTCCGGTAGTCACTTTCAATTAGGCTATAGCTGGACGATATATACCGCTGGAATTGCATTAACCGCAATAGGGGCACCGGTTACCCCACCCCCTTCAAACAAATGTCGCCAGCAGTAATTAGAGTGGAGTTGGGGAGCTGTGTCCATGTACGTGGGTGTGTGCGAATTCAGCCTTTGTACTAATGGTTGACGAAGTTGCTGACAGACTCGAAATCTCACCTCCAACGCGCATTGGAGAACTGCATCCATTTGTCCTCGTAATTTCGTTCATTTATGGCAAAACTTCTCCCCTCAATATGTATTCTCCCAACAGAGTAAAAACTGCTTAATCCAAAGCACTTTTATCAGAAATAACTTAATAAGGAAAGTTAACTTTCGTTTAGGTAAGAAGACCGCCAAAAGTGGATGATTGTTCCAAGCCAACCATTTTCAACTTTGCACTCGAAAAAAATTATGAAGGAGGATTTCGTAATCACAACAAAACGTGTGTCACCATTATGATCAAATATAAAACTCGTAGGAATTGGAAAGATACTTTTAGGTGATAACAGTGAATGAGAGGTGAAATGATAACTGCAGCATATCTAAGGGTTTGTCTAGGATTACGAAGACCACTGCCGTTGGCTTTTTTTAGCAAAGCTCAAAACAATAGATCAAAAATACCACTTAATGGGACCAGCCGGTGTTGAGGCCAACGCCTCTCATCATTTCCCACCGCCCCCACACGTCCTTAGGGGCTGCAGTGGACGCATAACAGTGGTAAAGTAAGAACACTTTATGTCATCACCCCGAGGCGATATTATCACCGACTTCAGTAATTGTTTCTCCACTGTGGTGAGCACTAGCTTGGGAAAAACGTTTGTTTGTATAACGGCAAACGTTTCCCACTTACAATTACATAAATAAAAGGCTTTTATTTTGTTAGTGTCTACCAAGGCATTTATTACATCAAGAATGACTCAAATATTTCACCACTTTAATGTCTTTGGGCTGTTGAAGAAACGGAATATAAAACAGAAGCGCAGACTGCACATTTGCAACTATATTAGTTCGCTTTAGATTCAATATCCTCACTCACATAGTTTAAAATGGAATTAGTAGACACTAATTACGGGTGAATGTGCGGAAGAATGATATTGGTTGCAGGGAATGGATACAGATGATATGGGGATTCTGCCAGCACTACCGAAAAAACAAAATTTTATTAACATTACGAAGGTGATTTTTCTAAAAAAACATCGAATTTAAAAAAATAGCTTTGGAAGTCCATTTGGGCTTAACGCATTTTATCACTCTAACAAGTTGGATAATTAGAAAAAGGAAGTAAAATTTGAGTAGAATTAAAATCCCAGAATAAATTTGCAGATGTAGGTCTTAAGGATAGGTTTAGGTTATTCGTTTTCAATGGAATACAACCGTAGATTACACAAATCATAGAGGCTAACGGGGATTTCACAGAAAATAAATAATATCATTTAACTAAGTAGCAGGAAATGTTTGTTCCCAAAAAGCGACTAGTTTAATGTTGTTTAGAATTAACCAAAGCAAAAGTTATGTTTTATTGAACAGTAGAGAAAAACGACTATCCAAAAAGCTAAAAAATTGTAAGTGTGCACGAGATGGACAGACATTTTTAAACAGCAGTCATTTTAGGAAATATTTGCGTAAAATCACCTAAAAAATAATTTAAACTATGGCCACATCTTAGTTAGTATATTCTAGTTTGAACCTTGTAAAACCATGCCAATGAGAGAACTGCTAGTTAATTCGAACACACCAGTGCAGATTATCTCCTTAAGCTGCGCTTCATTTAATTTTGTGTGCTGTTGCGCCGGACATAAATGGTAGGATTAACTACCTAAACTATTTTCCTAAATTAGGGTGAAAGAAAGGGAACGAATAAATATTATCCGCCTGACTTTGATCCAGCTAAGCATAGGAATCTTAACGCATACCATGGAGTCCATGCTTTGCGAGAACGTGGTCGCAAGGCTGATAAGGGGATCATAATCATTCGTTTTGAGATGCCTTACAATGCTTGGTGTTTATCCTGCAAAAAGCCTATTGGAATGGGTGTTAGATACAATGCTGAGAAGAAAAAAGTTGGCATGTATCACTCAACGCCGATATTTCAATTTTCCATGAACTGCGCAATGTGCGCCGGTCGAATTGTAATGCAGACTGATCCTCAAAATTTCGACTACGTCTGCATAGAGGGCATACGTCGGAAAATTCAGACCTGGGACCCAGAAGAAAATGAGCAGATTGCGGTACCAGGTTAGCTATGTGACCTACGCTTTCACGACTGCTACTACCTAGACTTCAAAGAAAGGCAGAAACTCTCTCTTGATGCTATGTACCAAGTCGAGCACGGAGTCAAAGATAAGGAAAAAGCCGCGCTGTCAAACCCAGTCCTTTCTGAACTAGAATCTGATCGTGAAAGCTTCAAGGACGACTTTGCCCTAAACTACCTCGCCAGAAAGCAATTTCGGGTATGAGTAGTTTTGATAAATAATTCATCTTAGGAAGCAAAGAAACTTCAAAATGATGCCAACGCACGAGACGAGGCGCTGAAAAGCCGATTATCCCTTATGGGGACACAAATTACTATCCTACGAGAAACCGATGAAGACAGGACGAAGGCCAAACTAATGCGGCTTCATCACACAGGTGAATTTTACTAACATAATTACCCCTACTCAGGTCACAGTGATAGGATAGCTGAAAGCCAAATGCCTCTTATTAAAATCGGAAAACCATTCAGACTCAAGAGAAAACAGGAGAATAGTTGTGAGCCCCCTTTAACTCAACAGCGCATTGAACCGCACTGGCTCGCAAAACGAGCCAGCGCCCTCGCAGTCAGTGTAAATCAGGCCTGTTCATCATCAACATCCCGTGAACCTCTGTCCCGAGCCCTTCAAAAGAACATACGAAAGAATGCAACCAAAACTGACGAAACTCCATCCAAGGAAATAACTGACAATGGACAAACAAGTTCAAGCCTAGTTCCCTACAATGATAGCGAATGAACGTGAACGTACAGATACTGTAAATATGCATGGAAATCCCCGCAAAAAACTCCAATTTTCTTTAGTAGAAGGAGGAGCTTAATAAGTATAGGCTGTATTTGCAATAGTACAGAATGAGAAGGTACCAACTACGAGACCATTAAACAATAGGTTGCTAATGGGCGCCGACTTTTTCATAACGGAGACCGCAGTAGCCACAGGTGTGAAGACCGGGCTTGTCCTAGAACAAGACAGATATAAGTTGCGCAAAAAAACTGTACCAAGTTGATGTAGACTTTAGGGTGCCCCAGAGCACCGTGACCGCCGTCGCAGGCGACGATACGCTCTGTAACTCGCTTGGGAGGCACATTTTCGATGAGTTCCACGGCAAATTGCTTGTTAACCTACCAATAGATATGAAAGTTGGGTGCATGAGGGGCGTCCAAAGGCATCCGTTGCAAGCCTCCAGGACATGGAAGGGACCAATGGAAAATCAGCGCACAACCGAGTCGAATACGCCTAGGGTATTTTCTGTTCCAGAAATGCAGGGGCTAGTCAAGAATACTAGTGGAACAGTGAGGGTATAAGTGGCCTTTAAAACACGAATGCTACCACGGAGTTTAGCAGGTGGTGTGACTATCAGCGGTGCTACTGGCAACGCTAAAGGGTGAAAAAAACCAGGACGATGAGATGGTAGAGTGTCAAAAATGAAGCCGGTAGCGCACAAACGAACACAAGAATTGGGCTCACAAGTTTTGTCGATTGCATGAATCTGGCAGAACGGCAATCCCTAGGGTCAAAGGCCTTTAGCGAGTGGTAGGGGAAAGAAGGTCCACTACGTACCTGCCCGGTGTGAGTTTTCACCGCACTAGATTCAATAGCATTGGGAGCACTTAGACTAGTTGGGCGAAGAACCTTCAGGACACTTCTGATAAGTTTTTCGCACTTCATAGTCAGTTTGTCATAACAAACCGACACGGTGACCTCGAAAATAGTCGAGTCACCAATGTGATTCCAGGGTAAGACCAATTTCCCCTAGATAGACTATTCGTTTCTATTACGCTTTAAAATTAAATTATTTCAGCCTTTATATGGTTTTATTAACTATGGTTATCCTCAATGCTTTGTCTGAAAAGAGGTTTGAGTAAGACATGCGAGTTTTAAAACCCATGTATGCTTACGTACTAACGAAGCTGTCCCATTCAAAATAATACAACTTAGCACATTATTTGGCACATCAGATCTGTCATACAAAACAAATGTATTGTTGCAAAATAGCCCGGCGTGATCGACCGGTGTACTCATGGCGAGATGCACCTCGCGTATCGTTCTGTTGATATACTTCGTATTTTTGTACTTTGCATTTGGAAATGAAGAATGTGATTTATATTTCAAGAATCTCACTAATGCCCTAGCCGCCACATACCTATGCTTTGGGGAATTTGGTCAACCAGTGTCTATATGTAGTCGATGTATTTGCAATATTGCGACATTGGAACTTATATTAAGCGACTCGGTATCGAAAAACCAGTTTGGAGTACCTTGCAGATCTTCAATCGAACGAGAAGCCTTGCTTGAGGTACATAATTTTTTGATTTCCAAGTTGCCCAACGCCGTCATACGCTTCAAATAAAACTTTCCATTTTGTTTCTTCAATCAGTTTCATATTATCTGCTAGAACAACTATTTGCCACGATGTCTCAGTCCTCTGCTGTCACTCAGTGGCTACTAGCTCTAACCCAGAGTGCCAGTGAATTTTCTTTTGATTTGTCCAGTCGTACCCGCTACCGCACTCAAAGCTTTGTTTTTTTGTCGTTTAATTGTTTTCGAACTCAACCAGCCTAAATAGGTCCTCTTTTCTTTAGCCATGGGCTCGGACCATATCACCCATACAGAAAATCTGGCTGAATGCTCACTGTGACCAGTGTTTAATTGGTCCGAATTTTACGGGCAGCCATTCTTTACTTCCGGGTTATGGTACTGATAACAACCTACCAAACTACAATTTATCAGCATACAACAACGCCACAAGAAACTTCTTCGATCAACTTGCAACACTCTCAGAATGCATTTCTGCTCACGTCTTAAACAGCAATGTCTCCTTTCTCGATCAAGTCAATTTTCCAACTGAATCATCGATTCAATTGAATAAAAATGTGTGCCTAAACTGTCATCGGAAATATGCTCGTCTTTATGAGGTTTACGAATCTTGGGTGCGTGAAACAATGGACCAGGAACACGACAAATGGTACCATCCGCGAGGGACCTCCCCACTCAACTACCGCCGATTGTGCATCGATGTCGTAGACGCGCTAAACCGCACGCAATTCGTGTGGCTCGGTATCCTCGATTGCTCTACCCGGTCGGTCACGAGACCAGTGGTCGCTTTATTGCCGCTAATCACTTGCACCATCCTCGGAGTGGTATTTCACGCTGCTATGCTCTGCGTCTTTCACCAACCCAGTCGTGTGATTGTCTACATGCAGTCGAGAGTTGAAGCAGTCACCGACTCCACAGAGAGAACACCAATCGCTGATGAACCCAATAGCAGAGAAACCCACCACTCCACTCTCTTTCGCAAGACCAGCTTTGCCCCGGTCACTAGGATTTTCCCCTTTGACCCCCCAAACACAGGAGATCCCAACACCGGTGACTCGTAAGTCTACCTCCCTTGTGCGTATACTGATAGAACTATTCTTGTTATGTATGTGATATTTAAACATCATCTGCGCCAACATTGAGGTCGAAAGGTCGTCCCTTTCCTACCAAGAGCCTCTTTCGTCATTTCCTCCAAATCCGCCAAGTGTTTGTCTATATGCTGAAGTAGAAACTGATAAGTTAAGGATCTGTAATCACGCTCCCCAACAAATCACACACCAGATGTAGGGCAGGTGAAAAGGATATTTTTGTTGTTGACTTTATCTGTCATTTTCAGTAAAGTTTCTTGAAAGCTCTCGATTATACTATGAACCTAATGAATATTAGAACACTTTGAAAAAATCTACGTTCAGCTCCTCATCTTCTTCATCAACGACTACTTCACC